TGTTTCTGCCTTTGTCCCACAGCGCCCTAGTAAATAAGGACTTTAAAAAGAGCAGGGCGACTGTCGCCGCTACGTCTAAACATGAAAAACAACCCCGCAGATCCCCTTCTTGTGTGTCTACCATTAAACCAGGCTATGAGCCCCCTCTCTTACCATTCCAAGTACGACGCATTTACTTCTTGATAAATAATGTACACGATATACATACATATATACATTTATATATGATGGTGTCGTATGTATGCGTTCCAATTTTGGGTTTGTTTTATGATGCAAATTAGACAAAGTGGCAAGTGTGCAAAATTTAAAATAAAAATGCTACATTTTTAAAGAGAGAAAAAAAGTTTGATTTAGAAGGTTGTTACGTTTTGTTTCTTTTTTCCCTTCTCTTGCACAAACATTTGCACAAGACGCTTGCACAAGTGTTGTTTGCGCAGAGAAATAAAAAACAATTTGTATTTATTTACAATTTACATAAAAATAAAACAATAAGTGTGCAATTGGCTGTGCAATAATAAAATTGTCTATTTGTACATTTTTGTTTCTCTGTCTTTGTTTTTCGCTTAAACGACCCGTAAATATAAGTATATACGTATGTATACAGTTGCATGTGAAGTCGGCACGTGGCGCCTCAAAATGGGTAAATTAGTTGTTAAACCGAGTCGGCGGGTGTCAATACGAATATTCGGTAATTAAAAAGGATTAGTTACTGCCACAAGAATGCTAATACATTGTAACGGTAAGTTCATCATGTTAGGCCAAATAATAAATATTTTTTTAGTGTAAAATGGCGACAAAGGAGAAAAGAAACTAGCAGAATCGTACAGGAAATAAAAGATTCCATAAAAAATTGACAATGACACACCAACATAGAAAAGGATTCATTGACTACATATGCATACATGCATGTATATATGTATTCTAAAGCTGACTGATAAGAAAATCGATCAAGGAAATTAGCAGCAAGCCACTTAGCACACACATGCACAACAAACCCCCTATGCGCCTTGATTAGCAAACATGCTTACATACATAGACTAACACAAAGCCAACTCCTTCGAAAAAAACATCCTCAGAGGAAAAAACACAACTGTAATTAATACGAAACATATTCACTCATTACCAGGAGACTTTATCAACGACCCAAATCCTTGAACACGAAAAGAACATGAGGACAAACCACAAACGTTGAAGGTGACTGCTGACTACTGATAAAAGCGATTCTCTCATGCCTCCAGATATATGTACATACCTTCTGCATCTGTTTTTGTCCAGAAGAACCATACTAAAGTAGCTGAATGCTCCGCATAATAAGGCGTGGGAGCTGCCAGCATGATTTATGACTCTAATAAATACAAGTTTATCGTCTAGCAACCAAGCATACATAATTGTACAACCAATTAGGAACGCATATAATTCAAACTTAAAGCATTCATTTAATCAAATATTTCAGCAAAAAAACACATGTGCACACATGTATATTCCTAGGATACAGTTGAATTTCGAGACTCGACTTGGCAGCGATAAATATCTACCTCTTCAAAATCAAAAGGATGCTTGTATGAGAGAAGTAGTAAGAATCAATATTAGAAGTGTTAGTCTGTGTTTCTTTAATTGCAATTCAGTTATGTGCAGTTTCTGAGTTAACAGGGTGGAACTCAGGAATGTCCATGTTGAACTTGAGATTCGTTTTAGTTCGATTGAAGGTTGAGGCTTGAGCTTTTAATATAGCATAATGGCTGTTGGTCCGTGTGAGAAATGTATGTCGCCCCAGCAACTGTGCAAAACGCGAAGTTTTAAGTTGTGGCAGTTGTGCTGCAGCTGTTTTTTACTGATTATAAGTTTGTAAACTCAAACACATACCATTGCAAATAACTGACCGATGTGGCGTACTGCTTTTGGAATGAGCACCTCAAGTCTGTACATAAGTATGTACACACATATTTCAGCATATGCACTGAACGGAGCGCTGCTACGTCACAATAGCTGCCGCCTAGGCAGCCACACAACTATAAAAGACAGGTCCCATACGCACAAGCACACACATTTAGATAGTGTATATATGAGTGTGCATATTTGATGATTAATTGCAGCCAACATGATAAATGATTGGGGGTAATAAGAGTAGCAACGGCAAGCGCCACTCAAAGAAATATATAGAAGCTAAGGGTGGCACGGTGGTAGCACGCGTGTTTGGAACTAGCTCGGGTATCTGGTTTGCTTCTAAGAGGTCGTAGCAGTAGCAGCTCGATGGTTGTCTCGATAGACACTGCTGAGTTTAGCTGCCTTGCAAGTATTTAAGGCACACAGTCGCATAGCCCTCACGTTTTGGGCCACGTTGAGAATATTTTTCGCAATTGCACGTATTTGGGATTGCCTTTTCTTTGTTGTTGTTGTCGGTTTGTGTTGCCTCTGATATTTTTCAAAAAAAAAAAAAAAAAAAAAAAAGTTGCCTCGTATTCGTTAGGAACCAAAGGACTGCTCGACATCCAAGAAAGAATTCGTCGGCGACGTGGCAGTCAATGATGTGGGTGCTGTAGTTGTTGCTGCCTTTGGCTTATTATCTTTACGCTTGCTTATATGTGTGTGTCACAGAATATGTGGGCATCTGTCTTCATGAATTTAACAATTCCAATGCCCAGCATTTTTCTCCCCCCCTCAATTTTGGTTTCTTTTTTCTATATTGGTACGTGCCATTTTGAGTTTGTTACGTTTTTGGCGTGTAAAAAGTTAACTGCTGATTGCATATTGTGTGTGTAAGGATGGTTGGGGATAGGATGTCGTCACAACCAATGGCAGACTGATTTCGACACTTGTCTGCGCCAAAATGGAAAATAAAAGAATACATTAGGAATTTATTTATTTAATGCCGATATGAATTTATAATAGAATCAGGCTACACAACTCTTAAGTACAAGATGTATCTAAACGTTAACGGTGAAACAGAATTTTCCTTACAAGTTGTTGGTATAAATTTAAATTTATCCCTTATGCCTGTTTTGTTTGATGTATGTGTGAACAAAGCATAATTTTACACAGTTACACAAATAGCTACGGATGTTTCTTTGCATACAGATAATGATACATATTTAGCTTACGTTGTTTATCTTTGCCTTGCCACAGTAAAAACAACTGCCAGCTGTGTTAAATTGCAGACAAGTGTCCGTGACAAATAGCTGCGTCCAAATAACGCAACATACGATACCACAAACAATTTGAATAGAATACAAACACAGCAAACGCACCAAACGGAAGTACTCGGAAGTCAACGGGAAATAAGCAAAACATCCGTCGTATGTAGTATATTAATTACAAAGCGATTCCTTGTGGAAGAAATTGCTTCACATGTTTTTCATTTCATTCGAAAGCCCCTTCCAAAATTTCCATTTCCATTTACATGCTGCAAAATAATTCGGAGGATGAACTGAAACTTTTTAAGTTATCTGTTTAGCTTAGTTTAAGCAACTTGAGGGGAGTTTAATTTCCAAATATTACCAAGCGGGATAAAAATGCATTCAACTTTGTTACATTATTTATCTACGTTGCAATTACGGATCGGATGCATGTAAACATATGGAGTACTCGCAATCGTGCACATAGTCAGCCTTTAGATTCATATTTCAACTAAAACTCAAGAAATGAATTTTTGAAATTTTTCGAATGTGTTTTCATCAATTTTCAACGCACCGAATTGTTTAAAAATAGTTGTGAATTCAATAAGGCATATGAAAATAATTAAATAAATAAATGCCACAATAATCAAATAAAATGTTTGAACTACGTTACGAATGTGCTATATAGAATGTAAACAAATTCAGAAAAAGAAATGTGGTACGTTGTTTGAATACCAAAATTTAATAGCTTAACTTTTTTCTAAGATCTTCTACTGCGGGCGCTGGTGGAAGGCGGCATTAAACAGTATCTGCCTTATCTCTTTGCATGCCAATGAATTACGACTAGCGTTTGACATAGCCCACAAACGGTCAAGCAATTGTTTAATGCGTCACCAGATGATAAAGCAGTCAACTTATAACATTTTTGCAACACAAAAACACAAACAAATGCAAACAAAAATAAAAATAATAAGCCGAACCTCCAAATCAGCTGTTGTTTCTGATAATTCAAACTTTTGCTGATCCGATTTATCACAGCACGGAGGAAATCGAAGAGCGAAGTTAAATTCATACATTCAGCACGGTAATACATACGTACATATATGTATATATGTAAGTGTATGTGTGCACATACATAGCTTTTTATATTTTCATATCATTTCATACTTATTTGCCAAATGCTTATGCACCTACTATGTGTATTATACACATGCATAATTGTATATATACTCAAATGATAACCGACAGCGGCGGCGTCTGTTTATTTATGAACGCATATATTTTTTTAATGTTTTTATTTTTTGCATATTGTAGAAATAATTGTATAAAGCAAATGCATTTACTTATATAAATATTGTCTATACATATTATGTATATAGTATTTCTCTGCCGTATTCACTTGCTTTTATTAGTGTGGCGTAATCATAATAAATGTTATTTTAAACTCACCCACAAGTAGAAACAATTGCTCAACCTATATAAGTCCCCTCGTAAAGACCTTCAAAGCCAAAGATAAAATAGCGGTTCCTAAGGCATATAATTTAGGTATGTACATATATAAATTACTAGCCACATGTAGGTTTGACGTCAATGATAAAAATATAGGGAAATCTCACGTACAATACACGATATTTAATGCACACTTATGCATTGCATTTAAATGGTGAACTTCTATAATTTGCAATTGGTTTAAGCACATATTTATAAATGGAGCGGAGCTTAACGCGACTCTCTAAAACGTATGCTTTGAAATCGATTCGATTTTTGTGCTCTTACTGTTGCAATGTTAATAGTTATCAAATAACTGTATTTATTATGGGACACACGAATGTCATTAAAATAATAATATAATAATCCTTTTTATTTTCTTTTTAATTCTTCACTCACCTGTTGCCATTGATCCTCAATCGATGGCTGCGATGAGAAATAGCCAGTTGTGCAAATGCGCTCCAGTTCGTTGAATATATTCCCACTCGGTAAAATATCCATCTCGAGATCGTCGTCCTCAGTGGAAAAAAACTCCAAAGACTCCGTGATGAAGCCGTCCTGGTTTCTCTTTAGGGTACAAAATAAAACCAATATTGAGTACGCTACCGCGTTCACCCTTTGCGACTTTCTGTCGTTAATAATAAACGACGAGAAATTGTTTTGAAATTTTTTGATTCACACTCGCGATGCTAGTATATATATTTTGAATATTTTGATTTTAATATTGATTTGATTAGAGGTATTTCTGCATGACAATTGGCTTGGCTTTTACTTGAGCTACACTTTACAGCATTTTAACACACGCACGTACAAAAAGATAATGATTCAGATAACAAATATTTTGACACCTATTTATATTATATTTAAGTTTTGTGTATTTTTTATTATTCTTTTAGCAAATTGATGCACATAATTTTTCTGGAATATTAAAGCGCAAACTTTTTTTTTTAATTGATTTGTGCTATTTTGTAATAAATTTTTTAATTGCACATAATTTTGAATGGGTGTTCCACAGTTGCAGTTGCTTGGAGCTGTAATATAAAAAAGGCAGTAATTATAATAAGTATTATTATTAATGATTGATATGCAGGTAATATAAGGAATCGAAAAAAAAAAATTTGTTGATTCTCTCTTTCATATCTATATCTAACTTCAAAAAAAAAACACACACAATTTGTTTCTAGAATCTTACATATTCTGTGTGTAAAAACCCATTCAACGAAACCAATAGACATTTTCATAAATTAGCCTTGCATAAATTGTATGGGAATACTATTTATATACGTATACATATAGCAAAATATTAAAGTGTATTTTGAAAGATGTTATCTCTGCTTGTGCATCTTGCTACATACCCGTCGTATTTTATATAAACCTTTTTTCCTATGCTCAACAGTTTTCACTATCATAACCAAATTTTAGGTCAGTAACCCCATTGACTGGCATAAGCACACATACATATATAAAAGACAGTCAGTTGTTGGGACTGTCGCGTTACGGCTCAAATTATTAGTGTTGTCGTCAATAGTACGGAGCTGGCACCAAGCACCGGCCTGAAACCCTGAAAGGTATCTGCTGGTTTATTAGCCTGGATCGAGTCGAGTCGAGTCGAGTTGAGTCGTTTCGGTTTTGGTTTTGGTTTCGAGTTCGGGTTCGAGTTCGGCCTCTTCTATATATGTTGTATTTTACTTTAATTTCTAAGCGCTTTGTTCGTCCCTCCCTAGTTGAGCAACAAAATACGGCAACATTCGTGGCTCGTTTTGTTGTCGATTTTTTACTACCTGTTTTTGTTCGCTCTTTTATAACGTATCTCTCTTTTTTCTCGTGTTAACTGAAAAAGAACCAACCCGCAGTTGAAGTGGCTAGCGACCGTGCGCTTTTGAGTTGATTTTAGTACAGTTTTCTGTTTTTATTTTGTGTCTGGTTTTGTTTTGTTTTGAGCTGCCTGCAGCACATGGCTTACAACGGCTCGAACGGCTCTGGGCCTGGTCACTGAATTTGGGCATGGAACTTCAGATGCATTTTATGATTGAAAAGCTGATTTATTTACTGTCGGTGCCTTTTAAATTTTGTCAAAACTTGGCGAACCGTCGCTCTAATTTACACATTCTCCAGGTGAATGCTCTCCAAAATCAAAAGTAATTTTATTTTCATCTTTTCGTCCATTTTTTTCTAAATTTGTAACTCAAACCGTAAAATGAAAAAGAAAATATTTTGAAAAAAGAAGGCTTCTACATTTAATTTTTGGGTCCATTGATCAGACTTGTCTTGCCATATAGACCCTGTGCACTCGCCTAGTTGGTAGTTGGTGGGCAGCTGTTGACCCAGTTTCACTTTTCTTCAGCGAAATTAAAAAAAAAAAAACTATTGGTCGCCTATTAACTTTTCAGATGATAGGTTTCAACTATAACTACTTACAACTTAACAAACATTTAAATTACCATACCCACGCGTTAGCACCAAAGTATTGCCCACATGCCTTAAACTTGCATGCAGACTTTTACAGAGATTTTCCAACAGACATATGTATATACACAAACACTCACAAATGCAACCTCACACGCATTTTGATGCTCTACTCGTTCGTATACCCTTCAATCAGCAACTCAACATAAAAAAAAAAAGAAGCGAGACGGAGGCGGGGTCACGCTCACGTCCGCTTGCAGCCTACGTGCGTTTTAATATATTTCTCTTCTTGCTGCTGATGCAGCTTTGGCTACTATGATTGAGCATCAGTACCGTCAGCGATGTAGAAATTTTCACGAACCTGACCCTTCTTACACCCTTTGCACCCAGAATCGTTAACTTTACTTATTTTAATATAAAGGGTTTTATTTTAATAGCACAGTCACAGTTGTAGGCGTGATCTTGACAGTATGTCCAACCATATTAGGCCATCTAAAGGCAAAGTTCACAAAAAAAAATGTATTTTATATGAAAAAGTGGCAACAAAACAGCAGTGACAACATATGAAATTTGTTCTCTGAACTTGATTTGCATGGTATGCCACCTCTATACCCACTTGCATTTGGACTCTCCTCTTATTTCCCTATGCATTAAAAATTTTTTTTTATATGTTATTCGCTCCAACGTAACTCTTTCACATTGTTTCACCGCTGCGTAATATTTCCTGCTCAGCTCATTTATACCCTGGGGCAGCCCCGTGCTGTCCTCCCCCTCACAACATACATTTCAACACTTTGTTCATTTCACACGTGAATTGCCTTAAAATAAAAAAAAAAAAAAAACGAATGGAAGCAAATATTCATTGCTGCCTATTTTTACAGACCTTTCGTTGTTGCTGACTGCCTGCCTGTTTGTTTGTTTGTTTGTATTGCATTATGAGTGGAATTTTTCCAAAGATAAACCATCCAATCCATAATACAAATTTTATAACCATCGGATGTACATAGTATATTATATTCCAATGCTATCTTTTACCGCGGAAATTAAAAGCTTGTTAAGACATATACTATCCTATTTTGCTGATGATATATTCAATATTACAGTCATCTCAGGCCTAAACATTTACGCTATGTGTTTCAGCCTGTCCGCCAGTCTGAGTGCCAGTATTTTTTGACTTGAAATGATTCCACGCTTTCCTAAAAATTTGTTTAACCGCCCTAAAGCAAAATACTTAAAAAGTATTAACATTATATTCGATATGAATATACATATCTTAAAATTTTGAAATTGTCTACGCAAAATATATTCAAGTAGTGTGTATTCTGTATGCAGCAATTAACCCTAAGACAACCCGGACATTTATATATGTATTGTGTATACATATATATATATATATATATATATATATCTCATGTCATTTATTTTTAGTTGGCAAATTGTGTATGTTTATAAACAAAAGGTTATTTATGTTCTCAATTTTTATTTTTGGTACAGTCAAATAAATATTAATAAAGACCACGCGTTAATTTAGGCGATAGTCAGTCGCTGGAGCCGCCTCCAAGTCATTAATTTTTGGACCGTGCTCAAGAGACCAGAGAGTGTTACACATGTGCTGTTTCGTCAATTGGGTTTGCGACAAGCAAGTTTTATTGTGTATTATTGTTGTTACTGATCTCGTTAAAGATAGTTTTTGACGGGTTTTAATAATACCCAAAGTACCCCAAGTAGCCGTATAGCGCACACTTGACAAATCGAACTGCAATTTTACAAGCAGGTGCAAATTACTAGGAGTGCAATATTGGTGTCAGTATTCTATATCAGAATATACTTGTAGTACCAGGAACCTCTGATATTATTTGTTATTTATTTTTGATTGAATGTAAAAAGAAACCGCCTGCAAGTTGAGCCCAACACAAGCAACGTTCGATATAATCATAAAACAAATGTGGCACTTGATTTGCCAGATATACCCCATAAGCATTGTATATGTATAAGCATATAAGAATATTACATACACATACATATGTACGTATTTATTTTACCGCGCTTCAACAACCGCACAAAAATTGAAAAGAAAAAACTGCTGGAGGCATGAATCAACCGCATTTTATATTTTCTGCCTGCGCTACGTGATTTAATATTAGCGAACTACTGAGTAGTTCATGCAAATTACAAAGTTTTTTTGCTTACAATAATGAAACAACAATAAGAGCTTGGGAAGTTAGTTATGGTTGTATGGCAAATGATTAAACGCTGGGTATGGGTATGGGGCTCCTAATATTTTTAGCGTGAGTTTCGCGGTCTATCCGCTGAGTCACTGTGCGGTGGTGGGAGGTTTTAACTGCACTGCTGATGGCTGATGGAAAGAGATGCAAACACTAATGCATGCTGCTCAGCTCTTTAACCAGTAAATGCGGCTTAAATTTGTACTCTTTCCATAATATTTAGTTTTGCGTACCTCTTGAAGTTGTTGTTATGGTAGTCGTTGCTGCTGGCTGCAACACTTGTTACTTGGACGCACTTTTGCGCAAAACTTGTTTGCACACAAATACACTGCGGCACACACACACATCAAGGAGACGAAGATTTGACACAGCGAATGCCGAATGCCGACAAACAACAACAAACTACGCGAATCGTTTACACTGCAGACTTTAGGCGAGCAAATGGCGATAAGAATTTAGTAGTTTGCGTTAACTTTGCAATTATTATTTATCCATTTTGCTTGGCGACTTAAGTGTCGACGAATTTTTAGCTACTATTATTGTGATTTTCTATTTACACTGCAAACGTTTTCCCTTGTTTGCTGTTTACAGGTGTTACTCTTCTACTTGTGGTAGTTGCATGTATCACCGTAAATTCATGGCTGTTTAAATTGTCGTTGTTGCTGCTGTCTGTTTTATCAAAACATTTTGTCGTCCACTCATTTCTTATCAAAACTTTGTTTACACCACGCACACAAACAAGCTATACGGGGCGACGCATTAAGTACCGCTATAAGTATAAAGCACACACTGGCAATTTTCCGATCTTCTCGTTTCTAGCAACTGCACAAGTGCATTTCGTTTTGTGTGAATTTGCTGCTTGATGAAAAAAGACGCTGCTGCTACTGCTGCGGCGACGGATGCGGCTGCTGTTGTTTGTGATAACTGCGCTTGCGACTCCGACGCACGCTGAACCGTTAACGTAACCGGTAAAAATAAGACTGTTGCTGCTGTTACTCTCAGAGAACCACAAGTGCAAGTTAAGCGACTATTAACACTCACATGTTAAGAACAGAGAGTCAAACTGTAAGTTAACAGAGCCCATGTGGCGCTCAGAGACTACAAATTGTACTCTTGGTCGGTCTCTCTGCTGCGGCGTACGTAGCGGTGAGCAAACTCACCACCGCAGCGAATTCAATGTCGGACGTAATCGTCAGAAATAAAAATTCAGAAGAGCGAATACAAGCGAAGTGGTGAAATTGATAACAGTCAGTTAATACTAACATTCGCTGCTAAAAAAAATTTTGCATTATACATACAATTGTGACAGCTGAAAAAAACATAGCAGACTATGCTTTGATTCTTGATCATTTTAAAGATCGAAGTCGATCTAGCCTTGTTTAAATCTGGCTAGTAATTTTAAATATTCCGAGTACTTCGTGTGCAGCTTTCTTTGCATTAATCAAAACAATAAATGAATACAACCCAATAAAATATCATCCATCAACAATACGCAATCAATCAACATAAATTTAATCATTGATAATCACATATATGGTGTACTACGGGAACTGTGTGGCCCTGTGAGCTACGCACTGTCGTACATATCCTACACTCTCCAAAAATGATGACAAGCATAATGTTGAGGCAAATGGCAGTTGAAATTATTGCAAATAAACTATACGTGAACAGAGATTAGGGCAAGTTAAGGTGTGTTGACGATTTGACATCTTGTTGTTGTGCCCTCCTCCTCGGCGGAAGTCGCACAAATCCGTAAATGGCACAAATTATGGCATGCCAAAGCGCTCAGCCATAGCTTCAACCCAAGAGCCATGTAAGGAACAAACATCGGCGTGCAGAATTGTCTATTATCGGAAACGTGCAGCCGAGTACCTAGTATGCCTTATAACACGAGGGCGGTAATTAAAATATTTATGAAGGTTTTTGTTGTAACATATGCGATAACGGTTTTCCTCTCACTTTGCCGGTGACTTTATATGAACCACATTAACCTAAGGGGATGCAATAGCTTTGCCACTTAGTACGAATAATAGTAAGTCGATTTGCGAATTATAATTTCACTACGAGCGATTTTGTGCCACTTTCCACACTAATTTGATTAATATATTTATCAAACTGTGTGAGATATCGATTTTCGTGTTAAACATTTCCCTTGTTTCTAAAATATTTAGGCACTTTATCTCTAGCTTCGAAGGAGTCGACAAAATAAATGAGTTTACATGGACAGATCATTAATTTCGCTTGAGTAAATTTGCAAACAGACAACTGCATCAATTTCCAGCTAAACTCAAAGGCCCAAAAGAATAACGCGAACTCCTAGACCTTGCATATGGGTAGACTGCTCGCTTGGCTTATGAGCAGACAAAATCTTTTCACGGCTTATTTCCCAAGTAAATAAAAAAAATCGAAATTAGTTCGAGTCTACATTTTGTTATAGAGAAGATCCTTTGATTGTAGGCAATTGATTAAAACTACGGATGAGCCATTTTGATAGAAATCAAACTGTATAACACTTCTACAATAATTAAACTAGCTACAGGATATCTCATTACCTACCTTTTTTTTTTGATTGTAAAGCTGGTCTTACGGACAAAGCGAAAATATTTTGATGTATTCATGGAAACAGTTTATGCATGTTAAGTAACACACAAATTGACGGAAACTTGTGCATGCCATGGTCTCATCGCAGAGCGAGGGGAGGGGTACAAGGAAAAAACGGCGAGCGTTAAGACCATACCTTTCAATTTATTTATAATTTACGTGGTAATATTTTTGGACCAAAAAACAAAGCAAAGACCAAAAGGGAATAGATGAAAACATAATACATCCAAGTGGAAGGCGGAAAGTGTAAAAGCGGTAAAAGCAGAGGCAAGTGGCAACATAGCACAAGAAACAGACAGAACACAAAGGCAACAAGACGCATATGAATTGGAAACTAATCATGGAATATAAAAAAAGCATGATTATTATGCATCTCACACTAATCATTATGGCTATGAGCGCATATAGTAGGCGAGGGTAAGGAAAATAAATAGAAATATGCCCGGGAACAGTTGCAAATTTATCTACATATATGTTTATGTATTTGGTGGAACGTAAAGATATTATAAATCCTATTATTCGGTATAGATAACAACTTTGTATTTTCGTATTAAAGGTATTTAAAAACATCACTCACTAACAAGACACTATGATTTATGGTGGCCTTGGTTAAATTGAAATTATGAGGCCAATGCACTACGAAATTGTTTAAAATGGGAGACAAAGTCCCTGGCAACTAACCCGAGGTAATTTAGTACCTTTGGCACCTTGTTAATGGCCATTAATTTATTACATTTGCAATGCCCGAACTCAAAGTGTTTTTGTTGCTGAAGGCCCTTCTGCTAGTAAGCCTTGTTGTGTGTGATGTCCCATAACAGAGAATACTCAACATGAGCGTTTGCTAATTGTTACACTTCCTTCTGTCTTCACTTATATATTTCAATTAAAGTAGTAATTCAAATCTATAAACACGAAAAAGTTCCTAACTTTTTAAAAACCCAAAACCTAACAACTTTTAATTGCGTACAATTTAACAAGCGAACAGATTGTTTAAGGGCAACACACGCTGACGACAGCAAAACAGTTTGCAACATCTGGGGACAGTAGGTACATGTCTTTGGCAGCCCTGGTAACCCTGATAGCAGTAAGAATTAGGAAGTTAGCTATGTGACAAGTATTGGGTTATTCGAGCTGCAAAAATTTCAACAGTCAACATGTCCAAAAATACAGTAAAGAAAGAATGAATATGAAGGGGAAGGTATAATAAAAGTTTTGCCCAAAACAATACTCAGCTAGAGAGTAGCGGCAAATGGAATTTTAATGATATGAAAATAGAAGAAGTGTGGCACCTATCAGGATATTGTTAGGCAGATGAAATGACCCCCTTCGTAGCACAACCCAACCGGCACTTGAACTTCGCTGCATGCTTATTTTTCACTCATTCAATATATTTTGGCTTTCGGCGCAGGCGAAGTACAACAAAGAGAGAATTTTAGAGAAGAGAGCGTGCTAAAGCCGGCAAAACAGTTTGAGGATAGAAAGTACACAAAACAGTTTTACGAAGCTTTAAAACCAGAAATAAAGCGTTGCCTTATTTTCAGAGCGTATGTCATGTGTTTGGAAGCTCATAATTATAAAAAAAAAAAACAGCTCAACAGCTATGCACACTCACTTATACACATTGCTTGGCCCTCATTGTTTGATTACGTCGCCTGTTGGTATGCAACACTGTGTATGTGGGTTTAGCTTGTTTGTTTGCATGTGTGTTGATTGGCCAACTGAATGCAATGCACAGCGCAATGACCCGACCCGACAGATTCAAACGCTGACTCGTTTCTGTTGAGTGCGAACTCTGGTCGATACCTCCTGATGACGACGACAGAAACACGAGAGGATGCAAACCACGAATGTTATTCAGAGGCTGGCCATTGCCGATGACGTTGCTGAAGGGAACTCGGTATATTTTGGCTCGTGTTGGACACTCGCAGTCACTCTGTTTCGCTCTCCTTTTTTTACGGAAGCTTAACCTACCGCAGAATCCTCGATATGAGCAGCCAAATTACGAGTTCCTTCCTTAGTTGCAAACAGGGAAAAGCAGGAGACTGTTTCGAGTTTGGAGCCGCTGTTACAAGTACTCTTTCGAAATATCTTGTATAACAGTCTGTCTCTTTAGCATATCTCTCTTTGTAACTCTCTTAAATGATTGCGATTTTTTATGGTACACTCCGTGAGTACAGGTGACGTCACCTGCATGTTGACGCGCACGCCGGCAGTGTAAACAAAACATAAAATATATGAATGGGTGAGTGAATTGTGTGGATAAAACAATAAGGACGAGTATGTGTATGTAATTCTTGCGCTTGATGAATGAAAATATTGACAATGTTACGCTTGTTGCTGTCTTTTTACTATGTGTAATACAAGCTACAGATTAGAAGATATTTTATCAATAGTCCTAATATTTGCGAAAACTTGGCTATGTTCGCTTGAGCTTTGTTGAGAATTCAGATGAACCATAAAATGTTGCTTTTGAGTACAATACGCAAGTTTATCGCTAGTTTTTTTTATGTGCGCATGCATGTTTATGTGCTAATTACAATAGCAGACCAAGCTTATTTGTCGATGTGCAGCAAATTTAAATAATACATATTTCTATCAAGTGCTCTTCTCCTCGATTCTCAAGAATCCCAGTAGGCTTTGCACCTTTTCATGCTAAGCTAGTAGTGTAGTGGTATTTTTGTGTTATTTTTTGTATTTTTTTTTTGTTTGTTTATTTTTTGTTTATTTGCATGCATATATGTGCGTATATATGTATATATATATATGCAAACATATATGTATGTATGCCTGCATATATTTATATATGCTAAAATGCATACATTCATACGTTCATGTATATATTGACAGATGTATGTGTGCATGTATGTAGGCATTCAGGCATTCATGTACGCATGCATGCATCACATAAGGTAACTATTGTGAACATTTCAGCTTCGTAGCTCTTAAGGTATGGGCTGTGCGTTGATCACAAATCAATCAGTCAGTCAGTCAGTCAATCAGGACAAACAGATTTTATATAAAGATATATATTTATATAAAGATATATATTTTAGTTTAGAAGCGTTTGTCTGAGAGATTACAATGCATCTCTGTGAAATCGGCATTGAAATAAACTTTTCTACAACAATTTTAAGAATGGACAAATGTTTGTGGGAAGGGATGCTACACTTCATGAAGAGTGAAAAGCTATTGAAAGCAATTGACAGGCAAGTCAAGAAATGGCGGCATCGCATTTAATTTGAATTCTTTGTATTTTAAGCACAAACCCGAACGCATATTACCATCATGAATTAAGTTTTTTGACAAGAATCTGGTTGAAGAATTTCTATTTTCGAATTTGTCATGTTTTCGCCTTACACAGTCT